GTGTGGCACTGCAAGGTCGCTTTGACGTGCAAGGTCTGTGGGTCAAGCTCACCAGCCAATCCTTGGAAGCTATACAGTGTCACTATGAGTCAGAACCAACTCGACGGCACGTAACAACAACTAAGAGGTTTCATAGTGTGCCTCCCTCCCACTCCATCACTTCAGTAGGATGTAATGTCAGGTCATATCCCGAGTGTTTTTATTAAGCGATACTGAGTGGGTTCCAACTCACAGTGGCCCTGTACAGCAGGGGTGGAGAACCTATTTTCTGTCAAGGGCCATTTGGATATTTATAACATCATTCGCTGGCCATGCAAAATTATCAACTTAAAAATTTGTCTGCTATATTTAGTCATTTAATGTGATGGCTGGAACTGATCTGATACTCTTTGGTGAGACGTGTAATGTTAGCTGGTATAGAGGATGTTGCTACTCACAACTGCTTTTCCAGGTTTGAATTGGTCAGTCTACAGTGCAGTTGACTCTGTGATGGTTTTGTAAAGAACTCTTGAGCAGTAAGTCGTTCTGAACACAGATGCATATTTCAACGCATGTCTCCTCGAAGTGGGAAATTCCTCATTGCTTATGTAACGTTTATAGAACTCAGGCAGTGGGAGGTGATTGTACCTAGCTTTCAGCGCATTATCGCTTTGCAGCTGAATGATTTTGTGTTGTAGGTTATCAGGAACATCAGCTGGTTCCACACTGAATGGTGTAGCATAGATGTTCAGTTCCATTTGTTTACTTTTCATGCCCTTCAGTCTTTCGTTAAATGTCTCAGTTACTTTCGCATGTTCACCAGCATCTGCAAGTGTTATAGAAGGCTTCTGTCCTTCCAGACTGGAGAAATGCAGCATCTTCTTCTTTTCCAGTTGCACTTTCCACAACCTTAATTTAGCTTCAGATGATTTCTCTTTTGAAAGCAGGGAGCTGAGAAGCTGGTTGGGGCTCTGCAGCTTGACATTCAGCTCTGAGAGGTACTTGGTGATGTCCACCGTGAACACTGAATCACATAGCCACTTGCTGTCGTTGAGTGCGGGAGTCCAGCTCACGCAGGGGTTGTGGGACATGAGAGGAGACGTGGAGTTGGCGAAAATGAAAGCAATCGAAAGCCTCTGATTAGTTGGCTGGAGCGGGCGCTCTTTCTCTGTCTGCTTATTCTTCTCTCTTCTGGCCCAGCTCAGCAAGTCTTTATTTTTTATACTTAAAATTACACATTCTGGTAGCATAGTGGTTACGAATCGGGCTGCAAACCTTAAGGTCAGCGGTTCGAAACTACCAGCCGCTCCACGGGAGAAAGATGAGGCTTTCTACTCCCGTAAAGATTTACACCCTCGGAAACCCTGTACAGGGTCGCTATGGGTCGGAACCGACTCCACGGCACTTAACAACAACAGCAACAACAACAAAATTACACAGTACGTATGATTTGATACTTTGATTTTTCCATGAATTATTACACAGTTTCAATCACAACATTCCTTTTACTCTGTGATTATAGAACCTTAACAAAAGTATTTCTGTGATGTCCAAACTGACCTTTCCATATCCTGTTCATTTTTCAACCACTGAACACTTTCCTTTTGACATCATCTCCTCTCCTATGTAAGTGATAAATTGCTTCTTCTTATTCCCACTAAAAGATCAAGTTAAACCTTACACAAATCATTTCCACTTATCAGACCCTTGATTACATCCTCTTAGTAATATAAGTTTCTATTAATCATCAGTGCCTACACTACTTCATTATTTCTACTAGGTGATTATCTATCTTCTATTCTACATACTACACTATTATTTTCATAGTAAAAGCATTACTAACCTCTACTGAATTATTTTGTTTTTGCTTAATCACAATGTTCCTATGTTTCCTCTTTTGGAAACTATGAGGCATAAGGCCCAACCTGGCTAATTGCTGCAGCAAATGTAGATTATTAAGTTTTGACCACCTTTCACTTATGTTCACTATTCCCTGCCTATTCACGTAGGTGCCTGTATGTAATAGTGGGGGGTTTGTAAATTCTAGCTGGTAAATGATTGTGGTGAGGTCTGTAGGGGTCGGTCAGCTTCACTTTAGTTTGCTATCTACTTTTGTGATCTCATAAATGCACTTACTTTGTACTTAGGTTTTCTGTGAACAGGAGTGGCACATACAATTTCTTTTGTATTCAATCCACTGAAGCTGAAAGCAATTGTTGCCAAGCTGGTTTTTCCTAAGGTTTATAGAACTCATAGTGAAAGGCTGTGAATATGGCCATATTATATATTTTCACAAGTAAATTCAAAGGTATCCTGAAGAGGAGATAGAAGCCAGCTTCTGAGAATCACCTGCTTTGCATGATGTTTCTCCTCCCGCTGGGACTGTGTCAAACAGCGGAAGTGAAGATGGCTCTCTGCATTTGAGTTCCTGAAGGTTGTTCCTTCATCTCCAGGAAGTGCTAGGTTTTATCCCGCAGTTCATAAAACTCATGACATGTTCCCGTGACTCAGCCAGCACACTTCACAGTGATAAAGAAGATCAGTCCTTAAACTGGTGGCTGTTAAACCCTCTGCTTTTGAAAGAATTGACACACGACACTACTGTTGTCATACATTGCTAAGCTGCAGTAACTGCACAGAGACTTTCTTGGTATCTGATGCCGTGGCATATACATAAATCACTGGGATCAAGACTGAGACGATTCAATTCTTTCTTGACAAATGCTATTAACCCCTCTTGTGAGCCAACCATGGCTGGAGCTCCAGCTGTAGTGAAGCCACTTCACTTCTCTCAAATCCTCACTTCTTGTAGCTCCATCATGATTTCCAGTGACATTAGTCCCTCTTGGCTGTCAGACTCTGCAGTTATCCTATGAACGAAAATGGCCGCGGGATGCCTTTGATTAGTTGGGCGATATTTGTTAGATCTGTTTTTACGTCATAAGCCAGAGAAAAAAATTGGAAATCTTCCTGCAGAACCCTTCAGTGGTCTTTTAATATCTTGTGCTGAGTCAGTAATCCGATCTGAGACAGTTCTCCGAGACAAAGCAACACTCTGAAACAATGTTCATGTGTCTGGTGCTAAGAACTCCACAGCAGACACCCTGCACTCTTTCACAAATTCCTACTCTAGATGAGGCCTCAGTTTCTTTGTGATTAGCTTGCTCGCTACATAAACTTGTCTGAATAACATTTTCTCTGTCAAAACAAGGCCTGGTGAAAGCAGCTTGTTGTGATTTTAAACTCAGCTGAAGAGCAGTGATTTCATCTAGACACATTTGGCTTCCTAGTTCATTTAGTTTAACTTCTTTTGAGCTGTAATGATGCTTCAAGGAACTCTGGTAGCGTAGTGGTTACGAATCGGGCTGTGAACCGCAAGGTCAGCAGTTCAAAACTACCAGCTGTTCCACAGGAGGAAGATGAGGCTTTCTGTTCCTGTAAAGATTTACAGCCTCGGAAGCTTTGTGCAGGGTCACTAAGAATGGGAATAGACTTGATGGTAGCAAGTTTGGTTTTTTTCAATAGGGTTATTTATATGGATTGGAATTGACTCAGGAGCAATGGAGGTGTGGATCAGGATAAAATGTATGCTAGATTTTATAAAAGGAGCTCTAGTAGTGAAGTGGTTATGAGTCAGGCTGCTAACTGCAAGGTCAGCAGTTCAAAACTACCAGCTGCTCCGTGGAAGAAAGATGAGGCTTTTTGCTCCTCTAAAGACATACAGCTCTGGAAACCCTATATAGGGTCACAATGAGTCGGAACCGACTCCACAGCACGCTACCACCACCACCACCAGTGACGCTTCAGACTGGCTTTTTCTCCATTACATCACCATACACTAAGCACATGTTTGCCTTTGACTTCAACATTTGTCCATTTCTAATGGATACATCAACAGTTTGCATCAACGTAGCTTTGTTTGTAGTTACCATTTTTAGGATGTCACACCACTTAGGTTTTAATAACTACCCAATGTGTGTGTCGCCGTCGACATGGAATTTTGCTTTGAATGCTGATTCAGTCCTGTATTTTGCATGTGGAATATAATCATTGTTCGTATCATTGACTCTTGAAGTGTTTTCTGTGTACTGCAATATCCTTAATCTTCATCCGAGATTCAGTTTTTGCAAGAATTGTTCATTGTGGGCAGGTGGATAAGGATTGTATTGAAGTTATCATCTGTGTCAAAAGTCGACAGCAACATCTTCAGTTATCAGAGATGAGGTCATCAATGTCGCAAGGTCATTGTATCTTGTCTCATCATCCTCCGATCGCCATAGCTTGCCACAGTGTGCTAACACTTTCACAACGTGTATACTCCCAGCCTGCCTGGCACTGAGTCTCCTCTGAATCACTGCAATTTACACAGATGGGCCACGGGCAGCTGAAAAGAAACATACGTGTCTGTCCCATCATGTACTTGTATGTGTCCTGTCTAATGGACGTTTCTTACTTGTCCCTCAAGATTTTTATTATTATTATGACTCACTTAATATAAATAATGTTGCTATGAAGAAAGCTCCTGGATTGATTGAATTTGAGTCCCACCTGTGGTTGCCTTGGCAGGGCCTTATATGGCCTGTGGCCTGGGTGTTCGCCGCCTCTGCTGTAGAGGGTCTCCAAGGAGTGGTTGGTGGGTTTGAACCGCCAACCTTGTGGTTAGCTTGGTTAGCAGAACAGTTGGTGATATCAAAATGAATGCTTGGTAAAGATGGTGATTGCAGGATGCCTCCTTGGTGAAAGGAAGCTTTTCCTTTGTAATTAGTAATAGGTGAAAATTCCTAAGAGTATATGCCCTGTTCCTCATGCATAATAATTTTTACATTCGTTAATGATTCTTGTCCAAATAAGTAGTTACATATTTTGTTGTTGTTAAGTGCCATTCAGTGTTGTTATATAGAGGTTACAAAATTGTGATTAAAAAATAATTTAGGTCATTTGATGTCTCTGCTTAGATAAGACATACTCAGAATCTAAAGGAACCAATGTTATATAAATCTATCCTTTTTTGCCATTACCAGGAGAAAAACTCTCAAAGCAGCAGCTACATAACTCTAACATCATTAAGAAATTAAGAGCTAAAGACAAAGAAAATGAAAATATTACTGTGAAGCTCAACAAAAAAATTAAAGAACTAGAAGAGGAGCTGCAGCATTTAAAACAGGTGACTATGAACCCTTATCCTCTATTTATCTGTTGACGCTACTTCCTGTATTAGCAGCTAGACATAGTTTTTGGAGCATTTAGAATAATTAAATAGGCGAGTGTCATGTGAGAAGTTTCCTAACGAATAGACAGATTCTATAAGCTTTCTTCATTATCTAACACTTGAGATTCCCAGAACTAAAATGGTCACCACGGTGTTACTTATTGAAAGATACTTTTATATGTCTTTTAATAACATAGGTACTTGATGGTAAAGAAGAGGTTGAGAAACAACATAGAGAAAATATTAAAAAATTAAACTCCTTGGTTGAACGTCAAGAGAAGGAGCTCAGTCGACTTCACGTAGACATGGATGAACTTGAAGAAAAGAATCGAAGTATTCAGTCTCTCCTGGATAGTGCATACAAGTAAGAAAGTGGACAAATCTACAACACTTTTAGAAGTAATTCTTAGGGTGGGATTTTGAAGAAAGACTCTTTTGACTTTCTGATCCTAGTAACACTGACAAACTTACTCTTATACAATCCATGTAAGATCTTACGAGGTTGTTACTGGTCCAAGCAGGTTCAGCAGAGAATCAGGGCTTACTATATGGTAAATTCTCCCTCATTCTGTAGATTTCTATGGTGCATAGGAACTTGATTAGTTTGTATTCGTAGTATTGCTGCATATTATTTTCAATAAAAATGGTCAACTTTTTTTCTAAGAGAACTTACTGATCTTCACAAAGCCAATGCTGCAAAGGATAGTGAGGCACAGGAAGTTGCTCTGAGTTGTGAAATTAAAGCAAAGGAAGAGCTTTCTGCAGCCCTGGAGAAGGCCCAGGAAGAAGCCCGTCAGCAGCAGGAAACGTTAGCAATTCAAGTAAGCAGTGGGTAATGAATGTCAATATTTTGTATGCTCTTGTAAATTAACTTACTTACTGACTATATTTCCTTTATAATTATGTTAGACAGACTTCAGAGTATGAGTGGTATTTAGCTTTGTTGTTGTTAGGTGCCATCGAGTCAGTACCAACTCACAGCGACCCTGTGCAGAGCAGAACAAAACACGGCCCGATCCTGAGCCAACCTCACTACTGTTCCCACACTTGAGTCCATCGATGCTGCCACTTGGCCAATCCATTTCGCTGGGGTCTTCTTTTTCTCTGACCCTCCTTCTTACCAAACATGACATCCTTCTCCAGTGACTGGCGCCTTCTGACAATATGTCCAAAGTATGAGAGATGAAGTTTGGCCATGCTGGGCTCCAAGGAGCACTCTGGCTGTATTTCTTACAACACAGATCTGTTGGTTTTTTTGGCAGCCCGAGGCAGTTTCAATATTGTCCTCCAACACCATAACTCAAATGTATCAATTCTGCAGTCTTCCTTATTCACTGTCCAGCTTTCGCATCCATATGAGATTATTGAAAATACCATGGCTTGGGTCGGGAGCATCTTAGTCCTCAAGCTGACAGCTTTGCTCTTCAACACTTTCAAAAGGTCTTGTGTAGCAGATTGGCCTAATGCAGTATAGCGTTTGATTTCTTGACTGCGGCTTCCGTGAGTGTTGACAGTTGATCCAAGAAGAATGAAGTCCTTGACAACTTCAATCTTTTCTCCTTTGATAAGAATGTTGTTTATTGGTCCAGTGGTGAGGATTTTGTTTACTTTACATTGAGATGTAATCCATACGGAAGACTGTGCTCTTTGATCTTCATCAGTAAATGCTTTAAGTCTTCTTCACTTTCAGCAAGCAAGGTTGTATCATCTGCATATTGCAGGTTGTTAATGAGTCTTCTTCCAATCATGATGCCGTGTTTTTCTTCATAGAACCCAGCTTCTCGGATTACTTGCTCAGCATACAGGTTGAATAAGTATGATGAAAGAATACAACCCTGTCACACACCTTTCTTAATTTTAAACCAGTCAGTGTTCCCACGTTCTGTTCGAACAATTGCCTCTTGGTCCATGTACAGATTCCTCATGAGCACAATTAAGAGTTCCGGAATACTTATACTTCACAATGTTGTCCATAGTTTGTCATGATCCACACATTCAAAAGCCTTTGCATAGTCAATAAAGCACAGGTAAACATCTTTCGGATATTCTCTGCTTTCAGCCAAGATCCATCGGACATCAGCAATGATATCCCTCATTCCATGGCCTCTTCTGAATCCAGCTTGAACCTCTGGAAGTTCTCTGTCAATATATGCTTGCAGCCATTTCTGTATTACCTTTAGTAAAACTTTACTTGCATGGATATCAAAGAGATTGTCCGATGATTTCTGCATTCCGTTGGGTCACCTCTCTTTGGAATGGGCACATATTTGGATCTCTTCCAATCAGTTGGCCAGATAGTTGTCTTCCAAATTTCCTGGCAGAGATGAGTGAGTGCCTCCTGTGCCACCTCACTTTCCTGAAAGATTTCAGTTTGTATTCCATCAATTCCTGGTGCCTTGTTCTTTGCCAATTCCTTCAATGCACCTTGGACTTCCTCCTTCACTAGCATTGGCTCTTGATCATATGGTACCTCTTGAAACGGTTGAACGTTAACCATTTCCTTTTGGTACAGTGACTCTGTATATTCTTTCCATCTTCTTTTGATGCTTTCTGCATCATTCAATAATTTGCCCAGAGAATCCTTCAGTAACGAAAGTCGCAGCTTGAACTTTTTCTTCAGTTCCCCCAGCTTGAGAAATGCTGAGTGTGTTCTTCCTTTTTGGTTTTCTGATTCCAGATCTTTGCACATTTTGTTGTATTATTTGGCTTTATCTCCTCGAGCTGATCTTTGAAATGTTCTGTTCAGCTGTTGCACCTCGTCATTTCTTCCATTTGCTTTAGCATCTCTACGCTTAGCTTCGTCAGTTGCTTTTTACAAACTCTTGTTACAATGATGCTTACATTATAGATGTATTACTTAGTTTCTTGTGAGTTTTGGGCCTAATTGAGAATGTTATGAAAACTCGTTATCCTTTTACTAGAGAAATATACATACATATAAATACTAAATATTGCATACATTGTCAAGAGAAGACGGTTAAAAAAAGAAAGAAAAAAATAACTGGTAAATTGAATTAGATTGTAGTTAGTTACCGGGCCTGTATTACCATAAAAAAACAAAAAGTTTGAATATGTGAAGTTTGAAGAAAATGACCTATAAATAAGTAATTCTGAAATTGGAATTTTACTGTGTAAACATACGATCATTGTTCTAGGGGTAAAGATTCTGGCCTTGTGCTATGATGACTGAATAAGCAATTTAACTGTTTTGTTGGGTTGTTTTAAGGAACTCTGGTAGTGCAAATGGTTAAGCGCTAGACTGCTAATGTAACGGTCAGCGGTTGAGCCTAGAGGTCGCTCAGTGGGAGGATGATGTCACAATCTATTTCCTTTCAGATGTACCGGCTCGGAAACCGCGTGGGACAGTTCTGCCCCCTCTATAGGGTCTTTATGAGTCAGCACTGGCTGCCATAGAGCTGACCTTTTTATTTTGTTTCGCTCTTTTTTTAAGTAGAAACTACTCTTCTAAGGTACTTCTGACTTCAGGCCTAAATAAATTGTTACATTAGCCGTCTAGTTGGCCTGCCTACCTGCCTGTAAGTTTTCGTATTCTACAGCTATTCTGTGTAGCATCTTTGGATGGATCTTTGTAGTGTTGTTTTGATTATGATATTATTTTACCCCAAAGCATTCTCACCTTTCCCAAGTCAGCATTCACTTTTACAACCTGTCTAATGTTGCTTCAGTTATTTGTACAATTGTTATAATACGTAAAAGGGGGCTTCAGAAATTTTCCATTATTCTTTAAATTTCCATTTTCCCTGAATGTTTTGAAGGCCGCTTGTACTGTTACCTACTCTACCTGGATTTCTCTTTGATGAGTCGTTACTGAGAAACTTCATACCTAGCGTATCATTTTCTGCTCACACTTGGACGCTTTTCCTTGCATCACCGCACAGGAAGTGATCCTACGTTTCTCTTCCCCTCATAAAGCTGCTTTTATGTTGTCAAATTAACATTTTAAACATTCTATCATTCAAGTTCATAAAAATGGAGAATGTTACAATGAGCTCTCATGAACCTATTCACACTCTAAGAGTAGACAATATTATAATAAACTCTTGTAAACCTATTTGTAAGAGTGTCGTGGTGTGGCACATTTGCTTCATCTGTTTTGTGCTCTGATGTTGGCAAGTGCATAGTTTGGGTAGTACCATTTCACCCTTGAACACATCCATAGGTCTGTGTCCTACCAGGACACTTTGTTGGTACGCACAGTGTAATAGAATTCCATAATATGTAATTTTATGTTCTATTTTCACATTTCTCGGAGTGTCTCAAAAATGATTTCATTTAGAGCAGTTTTATCTTCCCCCCATGCCATTGACTGTTAAAGAAACACAGTTATTTGTTCTTTAGAATTCCTGCTGTATGGGTGTGTCCAATTGCTTCCTTGTGGTAACATTGACATTTTCTCTTTAGTCCCCATATTTTCTGTCAGTTGAAATTTACCGAATTCCAGTTGGTGGGATTAGAGCACAGCTTTGGGGGCACCAGTACTTTGTGAGCAGTGCTGTGCCCCTCATATTCCTTCACATCAAGAGAGCACAACAGCTAATTGCTTCCTAGTGAGTACTAGATTTATTAGAGTGTTTATTTCATGGTAACCAGATCCTTTGATTGTAAAATTCTCCACAGTAACCCTTTCTCCTGAAGGTTGTAGTAGCTGTTAATGATTGTTGCTTCGATCCGTTAATTCATTTGGCAGTGCATTTGGTACCAGTTTTTCTAAACCTATTAGTTGGGATTGTAATGAATAAAGAAATTTCACATCATCTAGAGGTATATATGTGGTTAGTTTGAAAAAGGGATTTGTGCCCTAACTACTTTCAGTGGTGACTAGTAAATTTTTTGGTTTGGTTTTCCACTTTTTAAAGTAACTGTCAGAGCTAATGGGTTTTTTCTTAAATGTTTTAGTGTGAATTATGTGATAGTTTACATGGGAGAACATTAGTTTTACACTCATTCTATCGTATATCGTCTGATTGCCATGGTTACAGTCCCCTCCATGCAATCCTTCCCCAGTACCCCCCAAGTCTTCAGCACACAGTCCCTCTCCCTCTCTGGATCTAAGGTCTCCAGCTGCTCCATCACTCCGCATCATCATCTCTGGCTCCATTTCAGGGCTAATGGTTTTTTTGGGGGAAAAAAAAATATATATTTATATATGTATATATATTCACTATGTTTGAATCTGTTGTAGTTTTTAATGCGTGCTCATATTATTCCATCTCCAGCTGGTGAGCAGTGCCTTTAAGATGGCCCCAGTGATTTTTTGTGATGACCACTGTGTGATTCCTATAGCTGTTATAACAAGTGACCACAACTTGATGGCTTGAAACAGCAGAAGTTAATCTCTTGCAGTTCAGCATGACAGAAATCTGAAGTCTGTATCGCTGGCAGTGAGCAAGGTGTGGACAGGCCTCTTTTCCCACGAACCTCTCGGGGAGTGCCTTTCTGGGCCTCCTTATAGCTTCTGGTGGCTGCTGGCCGTCTTTGTCTTTGGGCTCCGTCACTGCAGCCTCAGGTCTCAGTTGGTAACATTGCTTTCTCCTCTAGTATGCCTGTCATGTCTCCACTCTTGGAAAACTCCCAGATGCCGAAGTCAGAGTCACATTAAGCTCTCCCCCAAAGGAATCCAAATTCTAGTTTCTGTGAATGTTAACCTTATAGAGCAAAAAAGGACTTTCTGATGCGATGTTATGTTACGGATCTGGGAAGAAGGAGATTATTCTGGATTATTTACACAGGTCCTAAATTTAACCTTATAAATAAGAAAGCGACAGAGGAGGATTTGACATAAAAAGCAGAAGTTGATGTAGGGATGGAAGCAGAGAGAGATGTTTGAGCATGCGATCAGCTGACTTTAAGGATGGACAGTGAGCCAAGAGACATAGCTTTTGAAGCCAGAAGAGGCAAGGAAATGGATTCCCCCGGCTCCCGGAGGGAATGTTGCCCTGCTGACGTGTGCTGATTTAGCCTCATTAAAACAAATTTCATTCTAGAGCTGGCAGACAATAAATATGCCTTATATTAAGCTACCAAGTTTGTACCAATTTGTTTCACGGTTTATGAGATCAATACAGCCATGTTAGTCGTTGATAACACAGTAAGATATACCGGGCTCATTTTGTGCATTAAAAAAAAAAAAATCCCGTATCTAGAAAGAGCCTTTTCCTTTAGTAGCTTTTGTTGTTAAATGCCATCGATTTAGTTCAGACTCAGGGACCCAGTATATGAGGAGCACTGGTGGGTTTGAACTGCTGACTTTGCAGTTTAGCAGACCAGTGCTTCATCCTTTTAATGGCATAAGGCATTTAGTGAGGCACAGTTAGGTTGCTATGAATACTTTTTACTTACGGGTTTTCATTACTTCTAAGTATTTCTAGTAGACAGAGCCAGAAAATACGTATTTTTAAAAATAATTCAAAATCATGAGATTATATTGATATTTCATCTACACTTTTGACATTATAAGATTTTAGCCTAAAAACCTGTCTTGTACCTGCCTCTCTCTTATTTTATAGTTTTCGTAATGTGAAACTTTTGTTTCGTAACATATACATGGTTTCTTGTTGGTTATACTTTAAATATGCTCAGAATTTCTTAATGATAATAGCATTATTACTAGCATTTAAACTATTGAATAAAATTGACCTTTTTTTTGCCTTTTTTGGGGTCTTAGAACTGAGTATGTCCAGCCCATATTTATGTTCTAGAGTTCCTTGAAATAGTTTTTCCTGTGTGGAGTGTGTCACCTAACTTGATACATATTTTAGGTTTGTTTGCTTTCAGATTTTTGGGAATATATTTCTTTCCCATTGTGCTTTTATTAAAAACATTTGAAAATTGAGATAAAAATTTACATAATATAAAATTCACTGTTTTAACCTTTTGAAAGCAAACAGTTGAGTGGGGCTAAAATATTTATTTAGACTGTCTTGCAGCCATAATCACAATCTTCAACCCTAATCATTCTCATTACCCGAAAAGAAGCCCTGTACCTATTAAACACCTACTCCCCCAGCCCTTGGCGATCACTAACCACTTTCTGTTTCTGTGGCTTTGCTTATTCTGGACGTTTCTTATAAGTGAGGTCATTTCTATCTGTCTTCTTTCACATGCATAATGTTTTCATGGTTGATCCATGTGGTAGAATGTATCAGTACTTCATTCCTTTTCTATGGCTGGATAATATTATATGGATACCGCATTTGGTTTATCTGTTAGTTGATAGACGTTTAGGTGTTTGTAATTTTTGGCTATTATGAATACTGCTGTGAACATTCATGTATGTTTTTGTGTGAACATGTGTTTTCAATTCTCTTGGACATGCCTACTAATGAAATTGTTAGGTCATTGAATAACTCTTTTGTTAGTGTTTTGAGGAACTGCCAAAGTCTTTTCCACAGCACCTCCATCATTTTGCATTTATCCCTTCAGTGCTTGAGGGTTCCAGCTTCTTCTTATCTTCTGTAACACTTGCTACAGTCACTTTTGTTATTTTTTTTTTGGTTGTTATAACTGTTGTAATAGATGGGGAGTGGTAGCTCATTATAGTCTTGATTTACATTTTCCAAAGAACTCCTGGTGTGGTGCTATGGGTTGATGCACTGGACTGTAAAGTCAGTTTGAACCTCAAGGTCGGTGGTTCAAACCCTGCTCCATGGGGACCCTATGACTTGATGGCACTTAACAACAATAACACTAATTCATCTTCTTTTTTATGCTTGTTTGTCATTTGTATCTGGAGTACTGGTGTGGCACTGTAGGATGAGACTGGGCTTCTAAACACAGGGTCGGTCAGCTGTTAAAACCCACCAGCTCCTTGGAAACTGTATAGAGCTGTCAAGAGTCAGAACTGACTCAACAGCACTTAACAATTAACAACACCAACGATGGTCATCCTTTATAGGTGTATTTCCTGTGTGCAGTACACAGCAGCCAAATCTATCAAGTGCCATGCTGGCAGAGTTGACACGGGTGCTATGCTCAGAGACGGTGGCTTAGTGCATCACTCTGGATGTGTGTTGTGCTCCACAGTCATGCCAGTTACCCAGCCTCCGACGTCAGCTTCCTGAAAGGGCTCACCGAGCCTCTTCCACGTCTCCCATTCCAGGGCTTTGACTCCTAGTCTTACCTACTCTCTTCATTGTTTTGGTACTCCACAGTTTATACATTCGAATCGGTTTCTATTTCATTGCATTGGCCATGACTGAAGCAGTTTGAAGCCCTGCTCTTGGAGCCAGTTACCACAGTCTTCCACAAAAGGTTATGGTAGTTTCCCGTGTGGGCAGCTGAGTATAGCAGCCAGTTTTATAGCTCATATAGCCCCCATTACATTCTCCCTTCTGTTTCAAACATTTCATGAGTGTATTTTCTCTCCTCCTATGTTTGTTATATGATGGCAGCTATGCCCAGGACGAATGTGTGTACTTTTCTTTGCCTGGCAGAGTGCTTTCCTACGTAGGGGCGCTACATATTATACATGTGGTTTTGGAATTAGTTGATGTATGGAATGTGTGATAATCATCTGTGAAATCAAACTTCTTGTTGTTATGTGCCATTGAGTCTGTGCCAAGTCATCGTGGCTCTGTATAGGGTTTTCAAGGATTGGCTTGTGGGTTTGAACCCACCTACCTTTACAGCCTCGGAAAACCTGTGCAGGGTCACTATGAGTCGGAACCGACTCCACAGTACTTAATAGCAACAACTACCTTGCAGTTAGTAGTCCAGTGTTTATTGTACAGTGCCACGGAAGTAGTATAAAGTGTTACACAGAACAATAACTGACTCAAGCCCAATATGTAGCTCACAGGAAGTTGTCCATAAAGCTTTGAGACTGCTTGTGATCTGTGGAGTGTGGTTTCTCCTCCTACAGGTGGGGGACCTTAGGCTGGCATTACAACGCACAGAGCAAGCCGCTGCCAGAAGAGAGGATTATTTACGCCACGAGATCAGTGAACTCCAGCAGGTACTGTCGCAGGATTTCCAAACACAACCTGAGAGGTCCAATTTCCCTCTAAGTAAAGATAACTGGATGTGCCCATATTCATGGAATTCAAAGGGCTACTGCGGTGCTTTCCATTTGAAGTTTCTTTGTCTCTCACAAGAATGAAATTACAATGGGCACCTTCACATTTTGCAAAATAAATTAAAGGCCCCAGTTTTGTTTATATAAAATAATTTTATCATGAGAAATTTATTGTGTCGCCTTGCTCAATATTAATAAAAAATTGGTTTTTATTAGTTTTTGATTACTGTGGGCCAAGTAATTTTTGCCTGTTATTAAGTGCTGTTGAGTCAGTTCCAACCCATAGCAACTCTATATATGGTTTCCAAGCAACATCTGGTGGGTTTGAACCACCAGTCTTGCAGTTACCATCTTGACCTTATTCTGTAGCACCACATTAGGACTCCAGTTGGTGTCTAGTATCATTTATTAATTTTCAGTCAGTGAATATGCATAGAAAGAGGAAAAGGAAGTACTCCTCAGGTTGATCTTTCTGTTTTTCTAAATACCTGAAAATACTTGAGTGAGATGTCTCCTTGGAGGCTTGGATTAACTCTTTACCTTTTGATAATTAAGTGTCTGTAAAGAAGCACTTATTTAGTCTGTTATGCAATTTAACTGTAACTTAAGTATTTAACAACTAGGAAATAAGTTAATACAATAAATAATTTAATCTTGTATAAAATAGATTTCTTTTTTTCTAGAAATCTCTCATAAAGCGTAGGTTTGCTAGTGTTTTTATTGCTGTCAGTGGTAATGACTTAGGAATTTCTGTGTTCAGAGACTCCAGGAAGCAGAGAATAGAAACCAAGAACTGAGTCAAAATGTTTCATCAACAACAAGACCATTGCTTCGACAAATAGAAAATTTGCAAGCAACCTTGGGGTCCCAGACGTCGTCGTGGGAGAAGTTAGAGAAGAATCTATCTGACAGGCTTGGTAATTGATTTCATTTTAATACTTGGTGCAGAGTGCTATGGAACTAATACGAATTCCATCTTGTTTATGGAATTAGTGTAATGGTATGAACTTGATATTCACTTCATTTGCTATTTACTCTTTGTATCTAACCTCCTGTAGGTTATGAACTTTTTCTTTTTACATTTATTTTTAATGCTGTAGCTGGGACTCCTTCAAATCATTCCCTTCACCCAATGTGTCATATGCTGTCTAAAATACTCCAATGTTGTTCTTCACTTCCTCTTATAGATAACTGTACTTGTATTCATCCTGTCCTTTGGGAAAATCCTTTTACCTTGTCTACATTAGTGTAGGAGGTAGAGATTAGTTAAGATTTCAGCTTATGACAGAATTCTAAGAGCAGAGATAGGTCTCAGAAGAAAATGCTATGGAGTCTGAAAATTCCATATTTTCTTTCTTTACAGGCACGTCCCAGGTTGCCCCTTTGGTGTGCTGTTTGTTAATAAAAATAAAATTATATTTTTATGATTTTTATCTTGGCAAATTCATCAAAAACCCCACATGTATCTTCTGTGTCTGAAACTCATTGTAATTAGAGGCAACATGGCATCATGCTAAAAGCAGACCTTCATGGGGGAATCTACTCTAAGTAGATTTGTTTGTCTTGAATCCACCATCCCGACAGTGCTCTGAGCTACTCTCTGGAAGTCATAAGGGGTGGATTTCAGACCCCTATTGAGTAAATCTCTGGGATATGTTAGGGCTGCCGTCAGGGCACAAGGGAAGCTTGGTGGATGAAGTGCTGCTTCATCCACCGTTTTGTCTTTTTCCTTGTTGTTGGCTTTCCCTGTGAGATTTTGTCTGGAAACAGGCTCATCTGCTTAAAAAAAGTTTACGTAATTTAAATGTACCTTTTTAAGTATCCATTTGTATGTCTGTTGTTTCATTTATGGCAACTATTTTGAGACCAATTGAAATGTGAGACATCTGAAATTGATACTGTCTAAAATGGACATTTATTTAGCAGTAAATGAAAGCAGTAAATCATTATTTTTGTGTTTCTTCATCTGGAGTCTGCGTACCCATAGAGGTTGGTGGTATTGTGCTAGGTTGGGGGCAAGGCCATAAGACAAACATATACCCACACATAATGCTGTTAAAGCAGCGCATATAAAGTATGGGACACGATTTGAAATTATACAACCTGCAAATAAGAGAGAGAGAGTTTCAGATTTAGGGGCAGTTTTTATTTCTACCCTGTTATTAGGTATTCTGTGGTAAGGAAAGAAACATGCGAATTCCTGCCTTCGTTCAGTCTCGGACTCCTATGCTTTTTTAAATAATAGAATGAAGTTTTCATTGAGGTAATTGTAGATTAACTTGCAGTTATAAGAAATAATACGGGAAGGTCCTGTGTACATTTTGGCCATTTTCTCCTAGTGTTCGCATTTTGCAGTACTGTAGTACAGTATTGCAGTCTTGGTGTGGTCCTGTAGGATAAGTCCTAAACTGCAAAGTCAACTTGAACTGCAAAGTTGGTGGTTCAAATCTACCAGCTCTTATTCAGAATCTCTGTAGAAGGTCGCTCTGAGACGGAACTGACGTGATTGTACTTAACAACAGCAGTACTATATCACAACTGCGCTTTGACATTGGTACAGTCTGACCATTGTCTTCCGATTTCCCCACCTTTATTTGTCCTTATTTGTGTGTGTGGATTGCGTTTTACTCAGTGGTAACCCCTGTGCAGCTTTGTGTCCCTACCACTGGAGTCCAGGTATTGAGTGTCTGCCTACCGCCACAGGCTCTAGCTGTTGTCTTTCAGTAACCGCAGCACACACACACACCATTTCAAAAATGTTATATAAATGATGAAACCAGACAATCTGTGACATTGAGGAGTTGCTTTTTTTGTTCAGCATAACTCCCTGGAAATTCATTCCTGATTTGCATGTATCACTAGATTGGTCCTTTCTGTTTCTGTCGTTAGTCTGTGGTGTGCAGGTCCCACAGTGTAAGCACTCATCTGATGTAGGACATCTGGACTCAGTCTAGGTCCTAACTGGTAAAGACAAGCCTGGTATGTTTACTCCAGTACAGACTTTCATGTGAACCTGACTTTTCATTTCTCTGGGATAAATGCCCAGGAGAACAGTTGTTAGGTCATATGGTAGTTGCATGCTTAGTTTTTTTAAGAAAATGCCAAAACTGTTTCCTTCCTGAGTGGCTATATATAGAAGAGTCATCCTTATCTTCCACAGACTTGCCAGCATATTTGCAATAAACACTCTTTTTTTCTTTTTAATAGCTCTAACAGGTTTATTATGATAGCTTTCTGTTTTCCATTTTATTAATGGCTAATCATAAGGATCTCTGGTAGCGTAGGGTTTACAAGTCAGGCTCCTAACCTCAAGGACAGCAGCTCGAAACTACCAGCCGTTCTACAGGAGACAGATGAGGTATTCTGTTCCTGTAAAGATTTACAGGGTGAAAACCCGGTACAGGGTCGCTGTGAGTCGGAACCGACTTCACGGCACACCACCACCACCACCAGTGATGTCACAGAGTCTGCGTGTGGTGCTGTGGGATAAAGCACTGGACTGCTAAATTAGTGTGAACCACAGAGTTGACTGTTTAACCTCATCAGCCACTCCATGGAAACTCTCTACAGAATCGCTGTGAGTTTGAACTGACTCGATGGTACTTAACAACAACAATGATGTCAGCAGAGTGCTGGTGTGGCATTGTAGGATCATCATTGGACTCCGAACCACAAGGTTAGCAGTTCAAACCTACAAGCTGCTCCTCGGAAACCCTATACAGTATTGCTATGAGCCAGAGGTGACTCTGTGGGACTTAACAACAACAACAACGAAATGATGTTGAACATATTTTGATACATTTTTTTTTTTTTTTTTTGTCTTTTGCATATCCACTTTGGTGAAATGTCTTTTCATGTCTCTTACCCACTTTTCTAATTGAATTAATTGCTTTTTCACCATTGAGTTTTGAGATATACATACATACACATACACATATTTAACTAGTTCCACTAGTGCTGTGGGTTAATGCGCCAGACTGCAAAGCCATTGGAACTGCAAGGTTGGCGGTTCAAACTCACCAGCTGCTCCTTGGAAACCCTATACAGGGTCGCTATGGGTTGGAATTGACTCGACAGCATTCAACAACAACAGCTAGTTCTTTGTTGGATATCTGATTTGAGAATAGTACTGCCCACTCTGAATCTGATTTTTCCTCCCAGTCTTAACTAAGTAAACTGGGCTTTCTTTCATAGATCATTGGGTTCACATGGGTTGTCATAGAACCCCTAAAGTTTAAAATTTTGGAGTATGAATGGTCTCGTGCTTTTGATATCAAATCCAAGTACTTTTTGCCTAGTCCTAGATCCCAAAGATTTTCGTCTATGTTTTTATTTATTCCGTATTTAAAAATACGTTTTGGTTTTTGCTGTTTGGGTCTGTGGTCCATTAGAGTTGATGTCTGTATGTAGGGTGAGGGTTAGGTTGAGGTTCTCTTTTTTTGTCTAGGGATAGCCATTTGCTCTAACATCGTTTTGTGATGCACTGCTCTTCCCCCTCCCCCCCGCCCCCCCCAAAGTTGTTGTTGTTATGTGCCGTGGAGTCAGTTCTGACGCATAGCAACCCTATATAGGGTTTCCAAGGCTGTAAATCTTTTCTGGGAGCAGAATGCCTCATCTTTCTCCCGTGGAACATCTGGTAGTTTCAGACTGTTGACCTTGAGGTTTGCAGCCCAATTTGTAACGCTACCAGAGCCATACCATTTTTTTAAAAAGTTTTTATTGTGAACTGAGTGATAGTTTACATGGGAGCCACTCGTCTTTGAATGCATGCCTGTTTATTTTTTCAGTGTCTCATGCAGATCTTGTGGGAAAAGAATGATCAAGGGGGTGTGAGTTTACTTCTTTTGTCTCTGTAGGCAGTCCTGCCTTAGGCAGATACCTCTGAGATTACTGTGGATTCCCTTTCAGAGTATTGCTATAAAGTAAATCACGTGAATTGTTTTCGTTCCCCAGAGCATAGAAAAGTTATGCTCACCCTGTACTATAATCTATTACGTGTGCAATCGCATTGTGAAAAAAGTTTAAAATCTTGTGAGATTATCTAATGTGACACAGGGACTGAAGTGACCCCGTTATTTATAGACTTGCTTGATGCAGAGCTGTCACAGCCCTTTAATATTTAAAACACAGTGTCTGCAAAGTACAGTCAAAGGAAGCTCAATAAAGCAAGGCGTGCCTGTAGTTATCAAAGTTAGATGTGGTCCTTGTATCACTAGAGGTTTCACGTCTGAGTCAGCTTGGTCTTTTGGTCTCTTAATCATCTATGGAGTCCTGGTGTGGCACTGGAATGTTATCCACAAGGTTGGTGGTTCAGACCTACCAGCTGCTCCTTGGAAATCCCGTACTGGGTCACTGTGAGTCAGAATGGACTCAACTACTTCTAATGCAAGCCTAGAGATAGAGATAGAGATAGAGATAGGTATAGATAGAGATAGATAGAGATAGATATGATTTTTTTTTCTTACAACCAGGTGAATCTCAGAGCTTGTTGGCAGCAGCAGTTGAACGAGAACGTGCAGCTACTGAAGAACTCCTTGCCAACAAAATTCAGATGTCTTCCATGGAGTCACAGAATTCGCTCTTAAGACAAGAAAATAGTCGGTTTCAAGGCCAGCTAGAATCTGAGAAAAACAAACTAAGAAAGCTGGAGGATGAAAATAATCGGTGAGCTTGTTTTCTTGGGTTGTTCTTGGTCGTTTCACATCATTAAAGTTTACTGTTGGCTTTTAGTTTGATGGCACTCAATTAAAAATAAATAGTTTTAGTGTTGAAGGTCACGTTCAGTGTAGTAAGGTATTATATACCACAATAGTATGGGATTCATGAAATCTCACATGTCTTTTTCCAGGGAAAGGATTTATAGCTTTAATCAGAGTTTTTTTAAAGGGCCTCAATAACCATGAATATATGCATGACTATTCGCTGAAGTTATTTTTATATTAGAAGAAGAGTTTTAGCAGTATTCCATCCTATCTAGATAAATGTCTAGATTCTTTAAAAGTTAGGTAGTTGTAAAATTCATCTATCTGAAATTTTACTAAAGCTGTGATAAGAGTATTTTTGCATGCTGTATTCTTCTGTGGAAATACTACTTTTAAGAAAAAGTAGCCAGGTAAAAAGAATTTTTAAACTGAAATATCTGAACTTTCAGAAGCTCTCATGGAAGCTTGTTGCAGAGTCCCAGAGTAAAGTGGTTTTGAGAATTAATTTTTAGAAAGTTTTTTTCAAATGAAACCTTAACCCAAAGCACCAATATAAGAAATGCCTAAATGTATAGATTTTTCTATTGTGGCTTCAATCTTTGGGTAGAACCCAAGTGATTTGGAGAACATTATTGGAAAAATCACTGATTTTCTTGTAACGGGAAGAACTCCTGGGTATAATTGGAGTAAATAAAGTTGTGCGTTTTTAATAGTCTATACTGCCATCTGTTTTGTTTAACTCCTTTTGGTTTAATAGGTACCAGGTTGAACTGGAAAACCTAAAAGATGAATATGTAAGAACACTTGAAGAGACAAGGAAAGAAAAGGTATTTGTATTAATTGATCACCTCTTAAGGGTTATATGAGAGAATGCTAGGATGATGGTGGACTCAGAGGTTCAGAAGAAGTGGGTGATTCCATTGCTTCTGGAGCTTGCTCTTTATTAGAGGAACATACGAGTGGACGTCCAGAAGCTGAGGGGGAAATGGAATGAAAAGAAAATGGAATTGTTCCACAACCTTTTGAGACTGACTTGATATAATGGCATGAATTAATATCATAGAAATTATGTAACTGTGTTTTCCTCTGTTAGACATTCCTGAATAGCCAGTTAGAAATGGAGAGAATGAAAGTTGAACAAGAAAGGAAGAAAGCAATTTTCACTCAAGAAGCAATAAAAGAAAAGGTACTAGACTTTGTTTTTCTTCGTTTTGTGGTAGCCATTTAGGAATGGTTGTGATTAATCATTTATTTAAGTTGTAGTTTGTAAATACCCAATGTTATGTATAAAATCTCTTCTAGTGTAATCAGTGTCCTGCTCAGAGTCAGTCCCTTTATACCCAAGAGATATGTGCTTTTTCAGGTTTGAATTACAGAGCCTCTTGCCCCTTTTAAAATGAATTTTGTTGTCTCTCACTAAATAATGCATCTCATCTAACCAATAGGCACCTTAAGAGTAAAACTGGTTTAGTCAATTTCTTTCTGATGAATGAAGGTGACTTTTCTGAAGTCAGTTGTCCTGTAGCTAAAGGATTACAGTACAGTTGGTGGTTAGCATAATACATTAACACAATCTATAAATAAAAATAACCTTTGGTATTTATTTGGAATTGAAGAACACAACAATGAAAATATGAAATGGATATGCCATAAAGTTAATGGTGTTTAAAACTCATCAGTATTTTTATTCTAAAGAAATAAGTATAATTGTAGTGTAATATTATATATAAGTTAGCTCTTATACTTGTAGCAAAAACATTCTCATTGCATTAAAAATAAAACACATCATATTATTATAATATAGATGGGCCGTGAGATTATTTGACCAAGTCTGTTGACACATTTAAATGACTGAATATTTTGCCTTTGATAAGACTTCAGAAATAAATCATCCTTGGATGAAGTTAGAATGGATCTTTGTATCATTAATCCTAGAATGTTTTCTTGCTTATTCTCTATATGTTTTTGCTCTTTAATCTGAACTGAACTTTTACGTTTTTACTCCTTAAGGAACGCAAGCCGTATTCTGTTTCTAGTACCCCCACGATTTCACGCTCGAGTTCAATAAGTGGAGTTGATATGGCAGGGCTACAAACATCCTTTCTTTCTCAGGTGATATTTTATGTTTTATATGTGATGTGTTCTTTAATTGAATAATGATCAGGAGATAAACAGTTGATGACAGATTGGCAACCAGCATGATCTTGCAATTCCTTAGTTAATTCATTTGGAAATGTGTAAAAAGGGCTGATTGCAGTGAGGAAATATAGATGATTTCTGCCTTTGAGAAAGTCATAGACATTTATTTTTTTAAAGCTTATCTTGTGCATTGAGTGATAGTTTACAAGGCAGAGTCTCAGTTTTATACCCAACCAATCATGTTTTGTTTCATTGCAGTAATTGTAATCCCTTCCATGCAACACTGGTTAACAGTATTTACCTTTACTCTACCCCCTTCCTTTTTTTTTTTTTTTGATGTACAGAAAACATATATTTGTTTAAATGGCCAAAGGGCACATTTTGCAAGCAACCCTCCTGCCCGCCAGCATACAGCCTTTCTCAGTCCATTGGTCTAGAGTCCTCATTTACTATTATCTCTCTATGCCGTCACCTCTGCCTCCTTCTCTGGTGTCGCTGCTTCTCTGGTTAGGATCTCATGCTCCGCTCATGCTCTTCCCTCCTGATGGTCCTAGGGTCCTCTGTTCTATTGTTGTTTCATGTCTTCTACCTTTACAGTTGTGACAATCGCAATTAGACATGATAACAGTTATATGGAATCAAAAGAGTCCTATCCTCGTCCTCCCCCTTCTCCTTTCACCAGACCCATCTGGATAAGAGGAAAACTCTTCAGTGGGTGTTCTTCCCTGCTCCCCTCATTCTGAAACTAAGCACACTCTTGAAAGCTTGTAAGCCAGTGACTGTGTGTCTTTATAGCCCCCATTATTGGTAGCCAATGTCTAAGTTGTTTGACCCTTAACTTGGAACACAATCTGTAATACTTGTATGTGCTTTCTCTTACTTAATGACTATAGGACGAACCACATGATCACTCATTTGGACCAATGTCTGCATCCACCAGTGGCAGCAACTTGTATGATGCCGTACGGATGGGGGCAGGATCAAGCGTTATTGAGAATTTGCAGTCTCAGCTAAAGCTAAAGGAAGGAGAAACTACTCATTTGCAGGTACTGGAAAGAATTAAATGTACTACTAAAAGTAAATGAAATTTGGGTGAACAATAACTAGCATGCTTCCTTTCCACCTGAGTTTTAAATAAATTCAAAAATGGCATATGAACCACAAAATGTATCTTTAATATTACTGATAAAGTTTGGATAAAGTAGCTAAGGATAGGGATGCCATTTCCCAATTCCACAATTGGGCCAACTTTCCTACTCTATCATAAGAAATTCTGGGCTAAAGCAGGCCTGCCCAGGTGTCGGAAGTTGCCCAGGTAATACGATAGGCCTCTAGCAGGACAGAATGCCTACTTGCTTGTAAACAGCTCTTTCCCAAGAGCATAAAGGGAATTGGCTGAGCTAAGCCTGTCTTAAGTTTTTCTCCCCAAGTTTATTATTTAAGAGAGTTTCACCACTTTCCCATTGAGGAAAGACTAAAGGGGAGAGATTGGAACTAAACCACCTGGAGCAAGGAAGGGAGCAAATGAGTCGGGAGGGAGCATTCCCCATAGCTGACTTTTTAAAAACTTCATGTAATTAACAACAAAAAGAAACAACCCAATCATGGAATAAGTAAAGGACTTGAATAGACATTTCAACAAAGAGGACATTTAGATGGTCACCAAACACATGAAAAGATGCTCAGTGTCCTTCGTCATCAGAGAGATGCAAATGAAAACCACAGTGAGATACCATTTCTTTCCCACTAAGATGACTTGATATTTTAAAAAGCCAGAAAACAGCAAATGAGTTGGCAAGAAATGTAGGGAGATTGGAGCCCGTGTCCATTGAAGATGGGGTTACAAAATGGTACAGCCATTGTGGAAAACAGTATGATGGTCCTCAGAAGATTAAAAATAGGATTATCAGGTTGTTGTTAAGTTCTGTCAACTCGGTTACAACTCTTAGTGGCCCTGCACAGGATTTCTGAGGCTTTAAATCTCTGCTGGTGCGAAAAATCTTACCTTTCTCCTGCAGAATTACCATATGACCCAGCTATTCCACTCCGAAGTATATACCCAAAACACTTGCAAGCAAAGACTCCAACAGAGACCCGTAGGCCTGTGTTGGTTACAGCACTAGTCATAGTCACCATATACAAAAGGTGGAACCAGTGTAAATACCGTCACAGATGAAGATGCTTACAGACAATGGAATACCACTCAACCAATATGAGAAATGACTTCTTGATATATGCTACAGTGTGGATGGAGCTGGCACATATTCTACTAAGTGAAATAAATTAGTCACAAAAACCCAACTGTTGTATGAATCCACTTATATAAAAGGCAAGAAAGAGACGAATGTCCAAGATTTTAGTGGTTACTAGGCACAGGTATCCGTTTGTCATCTTGTGGCTTGTGTGTTGCTGTGATGCTGGAAGCTATGCTACTGGTAGTTAAATGTTAGGGGCCCCCATGGTGGTCAGGTTCAACGGAACTTCCAGACTAGGAAGGAGCGGTAGATCACTTCTTGATGTTTAGCCACTGAAAACCCTATGCATAGCAGCAGAATATCCCTGAGGTTGGAAGACACTCAAAACATGACTGGGGGAGAGCTGCCTTCTTAAAGTAGAGTTGACCATACGGATGTGAATAGCATAAAGTTTTGGGGACGCTCATTTAATGATGGGGCACAACTCAAAATGAGCTGCCAACATCCATTAATAATTGGAACGTGGAATGTGCAAGGTATGAAGCCAAGAACGATGGAAGTCATCAGACATGAAATGAAACACTGGGAGCCTTTGAAGTAAGGGTGGCAGGATTGTTGTTTTGTAGTCTGGGCATGTTGCTAGGAGGGCCCAGTCCCTGGAGAGCGATCGCATGCTTGGTCAAGTGGAAGGTCAGCGGAAAAGAGAAAGACCCCCAATGAGATGGACTGATACAGTGGCAGCAACACCAGGTTCAAACAGAACAGCTGTGAGTGAGGAGAGCGCGCACCGGGCAGTGTTACGCTCTGTTAGATAGATACAGGAGTCGGAACCGACTCATGGCACCTGACAACACCACCAACTAGCCATGGAGAGAAGGACTTAAAGGCAATGGAAATATCACAGTGATTAAGGGTTGGGTTGCATACTTGATTATCAAAAATTCTGTCAATAAATTGTACACCTGTAAAAACTTGAATTGGAGAAAATTGTGTGACGTATTTACAATGACATGAAAAGAAGAGCAGCTGCTTAGGCTGCTGTGTGCAACTAAACATGTCACAGGATTTGTTTCCTTGGTTTGGAGACTGAGGGTTATGGTTTCATCCCAGTGCTTTATTTCCTAGTATGTTTTTAGGGCCTGGGGTCTTAAACACTTGCTAGTGACCCTCCAGGGTACAATAGTCGTGTTGGTGACTGAATGTCTTCAAGTTGGTTCCTACTCATAGCGACCCTTACAGGGTTTCTAAGAGTGTAAATCTTTATGGGAGCAAAAAGCCAGATCTTTCTCCCATGGAGAAGCCGGTAGATTCAAACTGCTGACCGTGTGATTAGCTTCCCAATGTATAGCTGACTACACCCCAAGGCTTCTTCAAGGCACAAGAATTGGTCTTTGTTTTCCTGGAGCAACAGAGAAAGAAGTCAGGAATAGGAGGAGGTACATTGTGGTTACGAATTGGGCTACAAACCTAAAGGTCAGCAGTTCAAAACTACCAGCTGTTCCGCGGGAGAAAGATGAGGCATTCTGCTCCCATAAAGATTTACAGCCTCGGAAACCCTGTCAGGGTCGCTATGAGTCAGAACCAACTCCACGGCACATAACAATGGAATGTGTGGCTAATTGACTCTGTGAACAGTTGTTTCTCTGCCATGAGACCAGAACTGGATAGTGCCTGACTGCCATTATTGAACATTTTGATCAAAGATTCTATAGAACAATCCTGTTCAAAAAGGGGAAATGCAGGACTGAATTTCAAATTCACCTGGACTGCAGAGTTCCCAGATCCATGAAGATTGTGTGAACCCTTAACTATGGCCTGAGATAATTATTAGACCTCCAGTCAAAAATATCCTCTGATGTCTTCTTAAAACCAAAGACTAATTTAGCTTGGCTAGTAAGAATGTCCTCATTGAGCTTTATGGTGTTTAAAAACTGTGTACATCAGATCAAAGTGACAACTGTGACTCAAAAGATTAGGGAGCAACATGAGGGAGCAGCGAGTTTCAGATAACGAGGGAGGAACCATTCAGAAAAGGAGAATGAGAATGGCTTCCAACTCCAAGAATGTCGTCAGTATCACTAAACGGTGCTTGTAGACACTATTGAGTTGTTGCATATTTTGCAGTATGTATTCTCAACAGTAACAAAATAAAATAAAATAAAAATTAATGCAACGAGAAATGTTACAGTGTTTTTTCACGCAAAAAATGTTTTCATTGTTGCACTTGACAGACTCAAAAGTAAGCAAGACATATTTTTTTAAAAAATAAACAACCTATTAAATGCGTTTATATTAGTGGGAGTATCTTTTTTTTTTTTTCCAAATAAGATATATTTTCATTTAGACTCTTTTCTGGTAATGTTCCTCAGCTTGAAATTGGCAATCTGGAAAAAACCCGATCAATAATGGCTGAAGAGTTAGTGAAATTAACAAATCAAAATGATGAACTTGAAGAGAAAGTAAAGGAGATACCTAAACTTCGAACTCAGCTGAGAGTAAGTATTCTTTAGTTAAAGATGAGTCCAGAACATTTTAATCTAGTTATGTTGTTGTTAAGTGCTGTCAAATCAGTTCTGACTCATAGTGACCCTGTCTAGGGAAGTGGCTAGTGGGTTTGAACCTCCAGCCTTGCAGTTTGCAGTCCAGTGCTTATCCTACAGCACCACAGCAAGACTCCAATCTTGTTAAAGTATATTTTCAATGATTTCCTGGAAAATCAGCATGTTAATATTTGATAAGGAGCCCTTATAGTTAAGTGCTTGGCCGTTAATTGCAAGGTTGGTAGTTGGAACCCACCAGAGTTTTAATATTTAAATGGAGAATTTTAAGGATAAAACTTTGTAATTTACCTGTCACCTTAATTCTAAGGGGTTTTCACTGACATGCGTGGACCCAGCAGAGGAGAGCTAGTAGAGTTTATTTGACCGGGGCTCATTGATAAGGTTGAACTCTGCATCACCGGAGTCCCTGGATCGTGCAGATGGCTAAGCACTCTAGTCCTACTAAATGGTTAACAGTGCATTCCCACCCACAGGCTTCTTAGAATTAAGAACTAGTGCTCTGCTTCTGAAAGGTCACAGCCCTGAAAACCTCAACATGTCTTCTCCGTAAACATGTTGAGGGATTGACTCAACAGGAATTAACAGCGATATATGACGTTGTTGTTGTTCTTAGGTGTTGTCTAGTCAATTCCGACTCACAGCGACCCCGTATAGGGTTTGTGAGGAGTAGCTGGGGGGTTGGAGTTGCCGACCTCATGGTTAATAGTCCAGTACTGATCCTGCAGTGCCACACCAGTACTCCGTAGATGACATTCATAATATTTTATCCATTTACATTATGTATCATCACATGTGAACGTATCTGGATTTCAGGAGACAGTGTTTAATCTTCAAAGAAATCCTCTTACCTTTTCCTTTACCTGTGGATGAGTGCCAGGTAATACTTGATTACAGTGAGTCAAAGAGACTTAAATTATATCAAGTACACTTAACATTGGTGGGAGAGCTTTATTGAAAGACTTGGTAAGCATCAGGCTTGCTGATTTTTTAATTCCTTTTCTTGTGTGTCTCAACTTAGGTTGTAGTGTGAGCTTAAGTTGAAGAGATGAGTACCATATTTTTATGCAAATAACACACTTTATATACATTTTCGCCTACCATGCTCTTACCCCAAGATATTTTTATAAGCATGCTGTACCTACCTTTTTTGTTTGTTTATGGCAACATGTTAAGAAATTAGTGTAGCATCCCTACGAATATAGCTTGGGAGGAGGACTTGCTTGACAAATACACATGGTGTACATTATTTGCATAAAAATATGTTGCATATACTTTTATTTACATTACAATGTGTTAACGCTTCTCATTTGTGATACCTTAATATTAAAAGCTGTTTTGTGCAGTGATTTTAAAAGTTGGAAATGAATATATTTTGTAGGACTTGGATCAAAGATACAACACTATTCTGCAGATGTATGGAGAAAAAGCAGAGGAGGCAGAAGAGCTTCGACTAGATCTCGAAGATGTGAAAAATATGTACAAGACTCAAATAGATGAACTTTTGGGGCAAAGACTCAGTTAACTTCTGAAAATTCCATTTCCATCAAACTGAATGTAGACATTTAATAGTTAAATGCAGACTTCCAATAAATTCTTTTAAAGAATTAGAAAATGGGACTTGATTTACTGTAGAGTTCAGGAAGTTTTTTAAATTGCTTTACAGTGTACAGTCCTATTTTCAGTTAAATTATTTTGTGCAATATTTGAACTTTATTTTTGAAACTCTTCTTTAGAGATTAATTTTTTAAAGCATCTGTTTTGTTTTGCTTTGTATATCACAGATTTATCACTTTATCCTCTTATCAATATGGTTATAGAAGGAGAGTGGTGTTCATATATATATATTGTAGAAATATAACTAATTGTATCTATAATTTGTATGTGTATGTATATATTAAGAACATTTTAAGGTAATGTTAACATATTGAAACTTTGGAATCTTTTACACTTAAATCTTCAGTGTGTCTAAACACTACTAATGACAATGTAGATGAAATGTTCACATAAAAAAAAACAAGAAAATTACCGGTGGTTATTAAATTTTGACCTAAATTTATTTTTTAATGTAGAAGTCATACTGATGCTGTCTGAAATCAATTTAACGGGTGAACGATCCAAATATTTCTTATTTTCTGGTCTGGTAAACCAAAACCCCATTGCCAGCTTGCTCAGTGTCTTATTCTCAGCCAGAAAGTGGTATAGAATTTAGTCTATGAATTTTTTCACCCAACTTCAACACAGAATTCTATATCCGTTAAGGTAACCGTCAGGGAAAAAAGCTGTAGCTAGTCAAAGTTATTTAGGCATAATTGGATCGAGTTGAAAAATCTTAATGATTTTGTGATTTGATCAGTAACATTTAAGTGATTTGGAAGTGGTATTGCTTCACCAATCTATACAAATAATAAAAAGAAATGTAATTATTACCATAATTCTTAAAAAATTGCTCACATTTTGTAAAACCGTATCTTTGGCCCATTAAAAAAACTGAATGTCTGATATTACCGAATATTTCTAACAGTATAGAAAAATCATAGGAGATCATTTAAATTTGGTATTTTGCTTTTCTATAAAATGGACCCTTTTCTTCCTTGATCCTAAAACACAAAAAAATAGTTTTTAAGAATAGCTATGCCTTCTTCCAAATGTTAGTTTGTTCAAAATATAACCAGTCTGTTTTAGACCTGTGAAATATTTTGATAATTTTATTACTGAAAGTCGTTTAACTGTCTTTACTTGCAACTGAAAACTCACTTTTCAGTGAAGTTGTGAACACTAGTGTTTTGGAGTGTAACAGCATGTAAGCTGTGAAGGCATTTGGAGAGCGTCATGTGGCTGCGTTTTCAGATAGTGCTTTTGTCATTGGGTCTCCGAGCTGTAGCATCAATAAATATTGATTCTTGGAGTGTGAGCCACATTCATAGATTCAGTTTTCTATATTTGTGGTAAAACAAAAAAGCATTCTAATGTCCTTTTTTTCAGTGTGTGTGTGTTTTCCTAAATATTCAGGGGCAGAATGTCATAACTGATAGCAATAAGAAATGTGCATAGTGTTAGAAAATTTAGAAAAATTGCACAATTCTGTTAAGCATTTGAAAGTATGAGTTTAGGAATTTTGAAATGAAAATATTCAACAGTGAACAAAAAAAAAAAGCAAAAACTACAATTTCATAATATTAAACAATTTTTTTCTTAATCCTCTTAACCTTAATAAAATTGATTTAACAAAAATTTTAATTGTTCTCAATTTATTGAATTATAAAAACGATAAGCAGCTATTTAAGTGTATGGCTCTGTAGGGTTCAAGCCCAACAGCCATACAATATTATCAGCTTAAAAATTCGCCTTCTGGATTTGGTCAAACATTTAATTAACCTAAGCACTGGATCACAAGGTCAGTTTGAACTACAGAGTTGTTGATTCAGTAGAGATAAGTGTTGGGGAAATAGAATTTGAAGAATTCACTTACTGTGATTGTTAATGTTTGTAAGGATGATTTGTATCTATTTTTAATCTTAGACCTGTATTGAGATATCCTTCTAAAAGTCTTCTAACATTTCTGTACTCAGTTAATAACAGATAAAAGAGGGTATCCTCTGTTCCTGAGTTCCTGTTGTTTTATGGTATTAAAATCTGCACTTTGACCCTTTAAAATACTTTCTAGGATATGGCCTTTAGACAAACCTAGTTTATCATTCAACAAATGAAGGCCCTTTATGATACAATCTGGAAACTAAATGTATCTTTCTTCTTGATACTTTTTTTCTCAGATCATTAAAAACAAAATAAATACTTTAGCAATCCACAGTTGTGATGCAGATAATTTACTCTTAGAACTACCCAGAATTTATTTCTCTCACTGCTCCAACTAGTAAGCTCATCTAACATTTAGAATCCTCAGTATTAAGGGATAATGGGAGGGTTTTCTGTTTGCTTAACACTAAACTCTCTTCTTGCTCTTGCAGGTGGGAGTAGGCCGAACATGGTAGGTAGGTGAGTTCTTCTTAAAGTTCTACTCACTGCCATGTCCTCTTGTCTCTTCAAAAATTACAGTCTTAATTTTAAAAAATCTGTGTGTGTGGTCCCATTAACTTTAGGAAACGTACTTAGTTTGTCGTAGGCCCTGTGTAAGGATTTCATTGATACAGTATCACAGTTCTGAAATCTGAGAAATTTCTGAAAACCAGATTTGTTTTCCATAACTTTGGTGTCAAAACTACTGAGGAATAAGACCTGACTTGAACTGATATGGGACTGTTTAAGGCTTACCTCAGATGTGAAGACTCAGACATTCTGCTGAATGTAAGCTGTTGAGGCATTTGGAGAGCGTTATGTGGCTGCATTTTCAGATAGTGCATAAGGTTGTGGGTTCTGATCAAGGGCTTGATGGAATGTTAAATAATAGATGGTACATGTATCACCCTATTCTATTCTAAAAACCCGCAACACATTTGGCCCCAGGGATTTTCCAAAGGGTTGTACACCTGCATTTACCGTGTAAACAGCCTTTTACGGTTGATACTGTTGTCTCCATTTTGAAAAAGATAAGCCACTTGTTCATGTGGCATCTTGCTGTTTTCATTCACTAGTGACTTAATCTGTAGAATGAGAGCAAGTCAAAAAGTATTGCTATCAAATCACAAACATTTATTAAACAAAAGTATCCAAATGTAAAGCTACTGTTTCTCATTATACCCTTCATCTAGGTCCATACAGTTCTGATGGCGGTTTTTCCATCTCTCTCACTCTTTTCCTGTGGTGCTGTAGGATAAGCACTGGACTGCTAACTACAAGGTCAGCAGTTCAAACCCACCAGCCGCTCTTGGAAACCCTACACTACAGGGTTGCTATGAGTCAGAACTGACTATGGCACACAACAGCCCTTCTCTGAAGGATTCTGCACTCTGATTCACACCACAGAAAAACTGCACTTTGTCATCTTCGAGGGACTCAAAACATGTTCCTTCCTTTAAGTTGTGAGAACAAACAGAAAGCTGGGGTGAGGTTTCCCAACAAAATTCTTTTAAGACAGCCCTTGCTATCCTAGAATGTTAGTGCCATTGAGTTGACTCCGACCCATAGCGACCCTCTATAAGGTTTCTGAGGAGCAGCTGGTGAGCTTGAACCACCAACCTTGCAGTTCAAACAGCTTTGCAATCCGGTGCCTTATCCCACGGCGCCACACCAGGACTCCTAATGGGTAGGTGCATTGTTGTGATGGAAACCAATTCCTTTGGTCAACTTTCCTGGCTCTTACTAATGCAGTTTCTCGTTTTCTTTAAAACCTTCCAAATAAGCCCCCATGATCATCCTGTGTCCTTCAAGAAAATCTATAAAAACTGCCCTTTGGGATCCCAACAGACAGTGGCCACAATTCTCTGAGCTGACTTCTCTGCCTTGAACTTAGCGGTGCCCACAGACCCCCCCTCAGAAGCCACTGTTTTGACTGGATCACTTTTTGAAGACACTCTAATGAGAAACAAATGGATTGCTTGTCTGCATCCATCCACGGATAACAGACATTGGTTCAAAATGTTATTTTTTAAAAATAAATCTGTACATGTGTGAACTGGAACAGTACTAACAGTGTTTTTTGACTTATTCTTGTATATGTTGTTGAGTGTGTCGAGGCAGTTCCGACCCATAGTGACCCCATGAAGCGTTTCTAAGGATCGGCTGGTAAGCTTGAACCACCGACCTTGCAGATCAAACTGGATTTTCAGTCCATCACATTAACTAACCCACAGCGCCACATCAGGGTACCGCTGTTGTATATAAAGATTGGTCATTTCCACAGCCCATTGCAAGGGACACAAAAATGGAACTCTTCCAGGTAATTGGCCAGGTAGCTAGCTATTGCACAAATTTGGGATAGGGGAGTTAGCACTCTCAGGATTGCATCTGTTTGTTAAAGTATCTCAGTTGGTGTTCTGATAATTCCTGGACCGCCCTCTCCCCACCCCACCCCCTTTTTTTTTAAAATGTTGCCTTCAGTGCAGTTTTGTCTCTTTCCTTAGGTACTGTTGGTCTTGCTCCTGTGCTCCCTCATGGAATAGTTGAACATCGCCCATTTGTCCTGGTACTGTGACTGTATTCCTTCCATCTTTTCATATGCTTCCTATGTCATTCATTTTTTTTGCACATAGAATCTTTCCGTATTACAACTTGAGTCTTGAGTTTTTTCTTCAGTTCTTCCAATTTGAGTAATGCCAGTGCACTTCCCTTTTGGGTTTCCAACTCCAGGTCTCTTCACAACATTTCATTGTAATACTTAATCTTCTGAGCTGTCCTTAGAAATCTCCTGTCAAAATCTCTTACACGTCATTTCTTCAGTTTGCTTTAGCTGTTCTCTATTCAACTTGCTTGTGAATAGAGAAGTGAAAAGGACTTGAAACACTGATGAAGATAAAAACAACAACAAAAAACTACAACTGTTAGTATGGGTTATAGCTCAACACAAAACAAAAATCCTCAAACCCCGTCAATAAATAGCCACATGAAAAATGGAGAAAACATTCAAGTTGTTACGGATTTCATTTTACTTGCATCAACAATCAAAATTCAGTGAAGCAATAGTCAAGAAATCAATGTATGTTTTACATTGGGAAAATCTGCTTTCAAGAGACCTCTTGGAAATCTTAAAAAGCAAAAGCTTTTTAAGGTAGTTCTGATGGAAATTAAGAACTTCATATGCATGATCCAAGTATTTTCAGCCATCTCATGCATGGAAAAGCTGGACAATGAAAAAGGAAGACTGAAAAAGCTGACACATTTGAATTATGGTATTGGCTTAAAAAAAAAATTGACTATTCTACAGACTGCTAAAAGACAGACCATGTCTTGAAAGAATCTTAGACATGAGGAAGGTGAGACTTCACCGGATATACTTCGGGCATGTTATCAGGAGGGCGCTATCTGTGAAGAACAACATCATGCTTGGCAAAGTAGAAGGTCAACGAAAAAGAGGAAGACCCTAAATGAAATTTATTTGGGTGGCTACAAGAACAGGCCCACGAATCTCTATTTTTTGATGATGACACACAAGTAGTGTTTTGCTCTGTTGTACATATGGTCACTATGTGTTGAAACCGACTTGATGGGATCTAGTAACAGAAGGAA